GAAATTCTTTTTTAATGACCATGTTACTCTATTTCACTGTCAAATCTGAACTGATTTTGATATTATTGTTTTTATATTTGAAAGAGGTTTTCAAGTTTTATGAATTTTTTTCAGATAGGGTTTTTGTATAATATTTACTTATAATGAAGGCCTGATAAAGATCTTTGAAGAAAAAATGCACAATGTTAAACGCCATTTTGTTTGGTCTAAAAAGCATAAGTATGTTATGTAATTTAGTCAAAATAAAATATTTGTTTATTGCAGAATTGAATTCGACCATTGTTCTCAAAAATTTCTACAAGAAAGTGATGTTAATCAAGATGTTCAAATCTCACTAAGGACTGCAGCTATCAAACATTCAGTTGGAACAGGACAAGGTTTTATGAGGTGCACCTGTACCAAAAACTGTGCTACAAATAAGTGCCAGTGTAAAAAAAAATGATTTTGTGTAATTCAAAATGCCGCCACAGTATACCCTGTAAAAATAAATAAAAGATTAAATATTTTATATGTTACACTAAGAAGCACAAATAAGTTCATTTTTAATTTTAGTTTGACTCTGAAAATTTTTATTATTTCATTTGAATTTTTGAAAATATTTTATCTTTAAAAGTGCATGGCTTAATAAAAAATATACAAACTGATAAGTAATGATTAGCTTATTTTTATTTTATAGTTTTGTGCAAGTGTTGTGTCACTTCTAATCAATACTGTTTTTTATAATTAAGTAGACTATGTTTGAATAGATATTGTTCATCTAATTGATTGCCTTTTATTTTTATTTTAACCATTAATATACTTGAATAATAATTCTAAATCAGTTTGGCCTAGGTTAAACTAGTTAAGCTTAAAGTACTTAGGCCAAACTAGACTGTCCTTGGCTAAACTAGTATATCCTGACACGCATAGGATAAACCCGTTTGGCCTAGGACAAACTAGTTTGGCCTAAAATCAGGTTTGGCCAGTAACATATATATGTATTTTTATTATTACATGTAAATAAACATAGTAAGAAAGTATATATTTTTTTATTTTTTGGAGTCTCCAGAACAAATTAATCAAATTCCCATAAAAACCCATGGTAAATCGATAATCGAATAATGAACAAAGTCTTGGAATGGATTATGTTCATTAACCGATCACCTACTATAATTTAAGCAATTTCATGTGTTTCACAAAAAATTTAATGACACATTGTTGCTTGATCCTGTTCGAACACACATCATAAAATTTTATACTGCTTATACTGTGCATGACAATCCAACTGCAGTTGTACCACACTGTAAATGTGTAGGCTGATCTGAAAAGTGAAAATTCCAACTCCTCATTATATCCAGTGAAAGGTAAAATTTTGGCTAGGAGTTAGACCTTCTTGTATTTAGTCTTTATTAAATGCCATATCACAAAAATCAAGACTATCTTTGGGATATTCTTAGAAGATCAATTCAAGTTTAAATTGGCCAGTCAACAAATTGTCTTTTAAAGCATTTGAAACAATGCTTTGAAAGATAATCTAGAAGTAACAGAGAAAAAAAGAGAAAGAAGAAATCAATTTAGCTCTATCTCATTCATCATCTAGATTCTACAGTCTAGTCCTTGAGGATCAAATTGCATCTCCATCAATATCAAGTCAAGAAATATATTTATTTTGATCATTTTAAAATCTTGCCATAAATATAGCTTTATATTTAGTTCTTATTCTTAAATTTTCCATATAAAACATTGTTCAAATCAATGTTCATTTTGGAACTTTGATTAACATAGATTTATTTCCTTTCTTTACATTTTTTAGTATATTCAACTGTTATCTAAAGGGTTCAAATCATCTCACTCTATAACTGGAATGATTTTATTCAAATAGTGTCATAATTTTGTACAATACTGCAAACAAACAGTTTGAATTACCATAAAACAAATACTGATAATGTCAAAATTGCTGGATTACAACATATATTAATTTTTAAATTTAGTTAATTGATTTGTTAATGATTAGAAGAAATACTGCTATATAAAAATGGTGCTACTATTTCAATAACTTTCTTGTTTTCCTTGAAAAGCTTCATACTTGATGTTTCTTGATTCATTGCAGAATATTGACTCTAGAACTGATATTCTGCAATGAATCAAGAAACAGTCTGTATTTTAATAACTTTAAAATAGTTTAAAAAAGAATTACTTGGAATAGAACTCAAATACAGACTCCTGCATATCAGATTAGTATTAGTCAGGTCATCCAAATCAACCAAAATTTGGCCAAAATAACTTAATTCTAGCTATCTTAGTAGAGTTTATAAGGAATAACTTAACACCTTCATATTCTTATGATGTAAAAGCATGGCACACAACACTTGGAATAGGCTGATGAAATGGTACATAAGTACATTGTATTTCATAAACATTTTTTTTCTCTGTGTAAAAATGTTTTGTTCTCAATTCAGTTTTCTTGCTGAAAATATCAAATGTCTATTCAGGTATTCGATTTCACCTGAATATGATGGTTGTAAACTGTTTAAAGTACTTGCGAGTATATCTGAAATTTAACATATACCTGTCAATAACGCCGCAACATGGAAGTGTCCTATATTTAATCAAATGCCTAAAAATAACTGCAAATAAACCAAATAGTTTAAAAATGTATAATAGATAAATTTTATAATCTTTCTAGTTCTTGTTCTCTAAAATTTTTCATATCAAAACACATTTCTTCACTATTGAGTTTGTAGTAAATACTGTCAACTCATATTATCATGAATTGCTAGAGGAACAGTGTAAGGAGTCGAAGTCCAATCGTTATTTTATGTTTTGGGCATTATTTTTAGTTGTTATTTTCTTCTTGGGGACTTTTTTGTTTTAAAGATGAAAACTCCCAAGAAACTCCAAAATATACTAAATTCAAAATTAAGATCAATGAATATTTATTTAAATAAGTGACTGATCCTGTAACACTTATATATGTAAACAGGTAGTGCGGAATTATACTTGTAAGCAAATAAAAGATGACACTTGTTCAATGGTGTGTGTGGATCCCAAAATTGACCTTTCTTGAAGCAAATTGTCTGGGATTCTTTTGATAAAGCAATCAACTTGTAAGAGATGCATTCTTTGCTTTTTATTTTTAATACTGGTGGAGATTTAATTAATTGAATGTCCTGAGCTAGGAAAAAAGAATTTCTTTCATTGATTGATTGATTTTTTTTTTGCTTGTACATAATTGATCTTGAACAATATTACATCCACAACACACCGTAATTTCTAAAACTTACTTCCAACATAAACTAAAAACGGTGCTTAATTCAACTTTTACGTCTTACTAACTTCTTCAGGTTAAAAAACGGGCAAACCAATTTACATTCGATTGAGCTGATCTTTTTTGAAAGAATTCTGAAATGGAATATTGTCGGAAACCCGTGCAATTGTTGTCATCATTTGTGCATGCGCCATTGTGAGCCTAACTTTGATCTCGTCATGTATCATATACCAGGGTTTGCCATGCTACTGATAAGGATATTTCATCTTTGCTGTTGATACAATTGTTACCCTGAACTGCTTTGTGTACATAAATCGCTTCCATCAAACGCAAATGGTGTCTGGTGCGTAGTGTATATTATCCTGGCTTAATTAAATAAAGATTGTATCACAGGGTCGGTGGCAAACCCTGGTATATGACACATGATGAGATGAAAGTTAGGCTCACAACGGTGCATGCACAAATGATGACAACGATTGCACGGGTTTCCAACGATATTCCATTTCAGAATTATTTCAAAAAAGATCAGCTCAATTGAATGTAAATTGGTTTGCCCGTTTTTTCACCTGAAGAAGAACCAAAGGTTCGAAAACGTTAGTGAAAGATGTAAAAGTTGAATTAAGCACTGCTTTTGGTTTATGTTGGAAGTAAGTTTTAATTGATCTTGACTTGTTTTGAATTTTTGAAATATATATTTATTACTAACTTCTTGTTTATAATCATTGTTGCTTATTTATATATTACTGTTCAACCTAATAAATATTATTGTGGATTTTTGCTTACCCAATATAAGTGTTATTTTGGTTTGTTGTATTTTGTTTTCCCATTAAGTTCAGGCCCAGTACTTGATTAGAACCTTAATTTTTTGTAACTCTGCTTTTTTGTGTCACGCAGTATGTTACAACAGTAATTAGTTTGCTTGATCAAAAATTCATATTAATGATTTTCAGGGTCAAGGTCATAAAACCCATGAAGTTAAAGATTAATAGGCAATTGAAATCTTTAAATTATAATATTTTGAATTAATTTACTAAATAAAGTAAGATAAATTAATGATCTAAATGATTTTTAAATCAAACAAAATGAGGAGGAGACAACATTTGCTGTTTGTGTGGAGCTGCATATCAGAGTGGTTAAACAAAACAAAAAGCTAAACGAAATTCATGATTTTTTTCTGTTAAAGATTGTTTGAAAAAGTAGAAAATATTTTTTGGTGCCAAAACAGTAAAAAATTAGCCAAACCTGGCATCACTGTATGCCCCCCAATATGCAAACTAGCATGTGTTTAAAGGGGTGGTATAGTAGAATGGTCCACTAAAACCAGATGTTTGCATACTCTACAATCAGAGGTCAAACTGATCTTTGCTTACTAGGAGAAAATTATTACACTCAAAATAGAACTTTTATTACAGTATCACTTGCTTTTTACTTTGATATAAATAATAAAATCATTATTGGAAACAGGGTTATTTCTCAGGGGTTGTGAGTGTAATTTACAGTTCAGTTTAATGAATTCTGGTAAAATTTTTGTTCACTTTATCTTATGAAAATTAACATTTTGACAATGGTATTTTGCCAGGACAACAGCAAAATTGCTTTAATGCAATAATTCTCTTTATTGGTGTTCATTTTAAGCTGAGTCGACTGTAAATGATTCATAATTTTTAAAAAATCATTTAATACATTAAATTTACTAATACAAAAGATTGAACACTTTTAAAATGATTTCTAAAAACTTTCTTAAAATTCTTACCAAGTAATCTCTTTTTTCTAACATGTAATGGTTCAGCTACAAATTTCAATCTATGTGATTTTCCTGGAGCTAAAAAATAAATAATAGTATAATTTATTAAAAGAAAAACAAATAGTATTATTAATATAGCTATACTATCGGCTGTAAATTATAACTTATACTTGTTTACATCATATTTTAAATAAATTTCTGAACAAAATATAGTATTTTTGATTCTAATAATAATATGCAATTTTTACTTTCATGAAGTATTCATGAAACTGATTTATCAAATGAAAATTCAGTTTAATATCCAATTATGGAAGAACAATTTTTTTCTTTACAAATAAATCAAATGATTGCTTATTTCGAGAAACCAATATATTTTTTTTTTTTTTGTTAAACAAACATAATATTTTCAGTCAAAATCTGACCATCCTCTAGTTAACAGTTTAGAGTAGTGATTCCCAAACTTTTCTGAGCCACTGCCCCCTTGGTTCCATAAATTTATACCCAACATTCCCCAATGCCCTCTAACCCATTTTCCCTTGTGTGAGATAAGTTAATATAGTACTAAAATTAAATATAGTAATAATATAAAAGCTGATAATACATAAAACAATTTGATCTAGCTGTCTCTATCTAATTATAGACTTTGGTAGGTACAGTATGTGCTATTTCTAAGGTGTGTGCAGCAGGCATATATGGTCTGAAGACAAGGTGAAGGCAATAGGAAGAAAGGGCAAGGGCGGCGGAGTGCTGTTATTAAGTACAGTAGGGCGTCGATTATCCGAATGCCAAATCAACCGAAACATCGGTTAACTGAAAGCATTCCAGTCGGACTGTGTCGTGCTGAATCAAACATTTTTGATACTAGATTAACTTCTAAAGTATAATTTTTTTTTGTTTTTATATTTTCAATATATTTATTTTGTTTGTACNCGATATAATGCGGGTGAAACTGTGGGTAGACAGCTAGTGATAAATAGAATAAGTTTTTTTTATATTTATTACCTTTAAAATACAATTCTAATTATAATGAAAATAACATAAGGTTATTTAATTTTAACATGACAAATGTGCACGATTTTCTTTGTACAACTTTGTAAAATCTGGTTGCTTTTTGGTCAGCTTCAGTCTCAAGTCATCTTCGAGTTGAAGTCAGTGACGATGTTTACTTTCCATGTTTGTCATGGCCGAAAATCTGCTCTTGCAGAGGTATGCTGTGCAAAATGGTAGTAAATATTTTATTGCCGCTTCACTGACATGATAACAATGATAATTGTATAATTAACACAAATTGTGTCAATTGTACAATTTTTGTTTCTTGCATAAGAATTTCATTTAGATATTGTCACAAATGCTATTTTTTTTAAATGAAATTTCGAGAATATTTTTAGTTATAAACAAACAAATTTGTGCATTCAATATCATGTAAATTGCCGAATTTTTGATGGTCCACCCATTATTTTTTTGATTGCTTCATCTCATCTCATGCATTTGCATTTTAAATTGACCGATTTTAGATTGCTGCACATACCCCTTCATGCAATTTCACATACCCCAGGGGTATGCATACCACTAATTGGGAACCATTGATATAGATGAATTAACTCCAGAAGTTCTATGTGGTTTCCTTTCTTGTGAGAAGTATCTGACTCATCATGTCATGAAAAGGCAAGTCCTACTTTCCCAGAAAGCATACAACATCAATCAACCGTTTAAGAATGTTGCAGATTTTCTTGTTATTTCATTATGCATCTGATTGCTAATTCTTTGATGCTCATTAAGCTGGTGATCAATTCTTGTCCTCCCAAAAGTATTCAGACTGATAAAAGATTTAAGGTGACTTACAGATTTCTCATGTCTACTGACAGTCACAGAAAGACAATTTAAATTCACAAACCCATTTTTATTTGACACTCCATTGTCTGTGAAAATAACAAGCAGGGTCAGCAGAATAGTTTATTTAATTTTTTAGATCCAACTAACCAAGGTATATTTGCCCATTGAGATATTTTAAAATGTCGTACATACTTTCCATTCTTATCTTTATGATCGAAAGTGAAATTCGGAATCTCAGGACATGGTCTATTATTCCTCACAATTTTGATTTTTTCAGCTACATTTCTTCCAGAAAATGATTTCTGTAATAGGTCACTGATTACACAAAACTCTTCACTTTCCATAATTAGTCCGCTACTTACAACAACATACGTAACTCACAACAATTCACAACTTAGATTTGAAACTACACAACACATTTATGCTTACTGCAAGCTTTCAATACAATCTGGCTATGTTAAATGCTTCAAATGACATCATGCACATGCACTCGTTTGCTGTGGCAAGCCTCCATATGAGCAAGCAATCAAGTTCCTGCAAGCATCACATTGACTTAAAATGGCTAGCTGGTAGCTGTCAATGTAAAAGCAAACACAAATGATAAAAGAGTTTACACATTAGAATAAATTATTATTGGCATATTTGTTTTCATATAAAAGTATATTGACAGTCAAAACTTTCTCTTAAGCATGCAGCACACGCTAAGCAAGCCCAGAGAATTCACCTCTGTTTAATTGATAAAAAATTATTAAAGTATAAAAATAATGTAAGGCAAAGGTTGTGTTGATGTACAGAAAATAAAGTGACAAGCAAACAATGATCAAGACAAGATCACTTTTCAGTGAGCACACTTAATAAAAGCAAAACTTGAATATTCATTTTCTTCACATTTTTCAGAAAGACTACATTCACAGCAAAACACTAGGGGTGTTTTGTATGATGCAGGCCTTACTGATAAATACCCATATTTTAAAACTGTATCAGATTTTTGAATCCTGGTGTAAAGAATCAAAAACAGAGAAACAATTGTAAACAAATGAGAAAGTAATCTCAGTGCAAAAAGTTTATGTTTATCAGCATATTCTTGGCAAAATATCTCTTTAATGTATTGATCATGGCACCTGAATTTTTATGCATCAACATATCTTTATAAAGTCTTTTGGATAGACCAAGTTTGCCATCTTTGTCCCCAAACAATATCCTTTTCTTGTAAGATACCCGCAACTCAACAAAGCTGGTTGCAAATCTCATTCACAACAATCAACATATTACAAGAATGTCAATTATTTTGTAATAAGAAAACCATAAACACTATAATCCATGATTTGAAAAACTGCACATGTCTTTATACGCCTGATATGAGCTCTAAGAGGCTGATATAAACTTCAATAGATTATACTGTCTTACACAATGTATAGTCAATCCTGGATTTCAAAGGATGCTTAACTTAGTAGTTTAGCTATTAAAAACTCATTTATATGGAGACAGACAGAAAGTTAATATTTTTATCTATATATATAAAAATGAATGTATGTCTGTGTGTCTGTCCTTCATGCATTACCACACCATTTATCCGATTGCCATGAAGCTTTGGGAAGTTTTTTAATACACTCCTGTGAAGGTTTCTGGCATAGTACATTTANTTTATTACATTTCCTGTTGTACGAGGGTTTTACCCAATTCTCGAACCATGTCAGAGTGAATCCGTGCTATAAAAGTACCGTGTTATACGGGGGATGGTACCAATTCTCAAACCGTGTTAGAGCGAATCCGTGCTATAGAAGTGCCGTGTTATACGGGGGTTACCTGTAATTAATACTGTATTAATATTTTGTAAAAGATATTTGAAAATTCATTTAATAATTGGTTGGATAACCTTTGTTTTTAATTAATCACAGATTGTTCATGGCATTGAATCAATGAATTTCTGATAACCATTAGGCCTAATGATTATCAGAAATTGTTGGACCAAATTTTTTCAATTTTTATTTTATACCCTTAATGTTGAAGCATTTTCTTCCATCAATCTTTGCTTCATTATTCTCCATAGATTCTCTAAGATTTAGGTCTAGTAAACTGATATTATTGTCTGTAAACCAACTTACACTGAGTTTTCTTACACTGCATGAACTAGTGTAAGATATGATTGAAAAATGACATTCTCATCTGAATAAAATTCTTCCATTGAAGAAATTAAGAAGTATTCTAGCAACTCTTGATACCCAGGGAAATTTGTACCTTTAATAGTTGTCATGTAGCTACATGGTCACAAGTATCCCTTGCTTAATTTAATGCGAAACTTGATTAACACGTGAAATTAATTTCAGCAAGGCCTTTATATATGCAGCACAAGTTTTAATTAATGTGGCTTTAACAGGGGTCTTTACTTAACATAGATATGTTTTTCTCAGCAAAGAAGGTGTTGGTGAATTTGCTATTTTTGTGCTGAGATGATTTTCAATATAGATATGTAGTTTAATTATGATAGTTGTAAAATTTAACACATTACTACTAATGCAATATTGTATCCTTTGTTTAGAAGTTTATTTTAAAAGTTTACTTCACATTTTGTTTGTATAAAATCAAATTGAAATATCTGCAGATAAAATGCATATGAGGCATATTATGTATGCTTTTTACATTTCATAAAGAATATAACACTATTCAAACAGTAAAAAAAAAATACTCATAGTATATAGGGAAGATGCTCCTAAAAGTCAGACATGTCAAATGTGATTTTGAAAGTTTCACTGAAAAAATTTTGAACTAAAGGATACAAAACATATGGGGCCTGCCTGAATTCAATCCTATGTATTCAAAAGAGGTAGGCTTTAGAATACATAGGATTGAATTCAGGCAATACCTCAGAAAGTGGTCAGCTTTGAAGTGGTAAAGTTTGACCTTGATCTTTTTTCAAACTCCTTTCATAAAAAACTTTTTACTTCACTTGATATCAATATCTCTTAATCAGTCTCAGTTATGAAACATTTGGAACGTTGGCTTCATAGAAGATGTATCAAATTCTTTAATGGTCTAACTTGGCAAGTGTTGAGAGCTCAACACTTGCCAAGTTAGACCATATGATATGTCTTCGGGCCAAATATGGCCACTGCCCATATTTGGCCCGAAGACATATCCTTGGTCAGGGTAGTATTCCTTTAGGAAGGGCACTAGCCTGTTTCAAATGCATTCATTGTCATACACTTTGGTGATGGGGAAATGTCTATAAACATCACTTTGAATTGATTGCTAACCAAACTAAAAGCTTCATAAAAAATTGAAATGTCACTTGAATTTGACTTCAGGATCGACATCTAGCCCTTCTTCAGTAAAACAGATTGTTATCAGACCTTCCATCAAAAGTGAAATAGAATTTGCTGTCCATAACCACATCGATTATTTGATGTCTTAGAAACATCAAGCATTTCAACTTTTCCAAAGGCCCTTTTTCCAATTGCTTCCTCTTCCTTCAATCATTTTCCTCTTCTTTTGACCACTTCCCATTCTTCTTTCTGAAGGTTTCACCTGCTCTATTCTAGAAATGATGCTATATACTGTATACACTGAAATTTCCATTGCAGAGAAATGTTTAAGAGTACAAGATTTCACATTTTTGCAATTTTCAGTATAAAATTTGCCAATTATATTTCTTCAATCAAATTCATTTAATCCTTCCATTTTTAAAATGGAATGTTATTTACATAAACTTTTTCAATAAATGGAATCAAGAACATTCTAGAAAAAATGTATGCTGTCTTGTGCACATGTGCAATTATTTGAAATTACCAAAAATGCTATTGAAATTTGTGTAATTTTTAAGATATACACTTATAATTGTTAATAATCTTCTATTAATAAAATTAATTTTCTAAAACTGACAAAGTTACTTTAATTTTAAGTTATTTTTATATTAATTTGTATAATAATATATGTTAAATAGCACACAAACATAAGCACACAGAAATATAAAGTTCATTTTTTGTGATGAAGGTCCTGACTTTTCTGAAATTCTTGTTCTTTCGCAATAAAGTCGTGAAGTTTCATTTGTAGCTTTTTTCTTTCCTTAAGCAAATATCGGTAGCAGAAGATCACATCCAAAATGCCTCGCTTTGCTTTTTCACTCCCTTCAAAATCTGGATCATTCGCTACAATTTGATCAATGATTTCAGTTATCTTACCAAACTTTTATTAAGGAAATCTGTATAGAAATTTTTTGGGTTCTTTGTTTACAAAATCACTATTTTCTAGTTCTACACAGCTTCCTTGTTCTGCCAGTTCTTGAAGGTCATCGTTGGTAAGACTCTCACCAACTTGCTGTAACTCCTCAATATCCTGTTTGTCTACATCTAGTCCTGCTGTATCGATTAGGTTGAGTTTGATCAATCTAACGATACAGCGATAGGATCTTCTCGTTGAGAATTCTTGGATACCTTCAACCATAACTTCTTCCACACTTCATGCATTTATCAGTTAATTCTTGCCAAGCGAAGCCAATATTGTCTATGGCATCCATGATGTTATATTTTTTTCCAAAATTGCACCAAACAAACATAGATTTAAAGAAAGTACACCTTTTTGTCACCTTTTGCTGATTGGTTTGTGTTTGCAAATAATCGTATTATATACGAATCAAGGAAATGCTGAGATAATTTAAATCAGCGTAAATTTTGAGATTTTTTTAGGCTTCGAGCATACTGCATTATATTGAATCAGCGTTAAGTGGGGTCTTACTGTATCTACTCGGGATAGATGCAAGCAGTAACAACTGAATCTCTAAATTACATAATTTGATAAATTAATCAATAATATTGATACAATGGCTAATTTTATTACATATGTAAAATTTGAAGCAAAACTAATATTTTGTTTCAAACAATTTCACATGTTTAAAACAATCAACAATTTGGACATTTTACATTTTAAATTCTGTATTAATGTGTGTAATTTTTAAGAAACATAAAAACAATAAGAGATTTTTAAAAAATCAAAGCTGATTTCATTAATTAATAATAACTGTAGCTCAGTTATAATAAAAGTTAAAATTCAATAATAAAATTAATCAAAAATTCATTTACTGTATTTACTCATGTACAAGATGACCTCGCATATAGGTGTGATTTTAAAGATCAAAATAAAGAAAATTAGATTTATTAATACAATTCTCATTTAGTCACAAATAAAATATCAAATGCATGTAAATGCACACACTGTCCCACAAAAATTACTGACATTTTAAACTTTAAGGAAAAATTTTGTAAAATCAACAATATACATAATTTGTTCATGTAAAGCTGGACAATCAAAAATCTTTTTTGCCAATTCTTAACAGTTGAATCCACTCTCCGTTGATTACACTTATGAATTTCTCCGAATTCTGATTTTCGAATAATCATCTGTTTTCATGTGGGAATGGATTAAAACTTATATCTGGCTCCCATGTGATTTTGGAATTTAAATTTGGAATTCAATTCAAAAGCTTTGTTTTTCCTATTGCTATTCATCTTTACTCCTGACAATACACAAGAATGATTCAAATGACCCAGATAAAATACTTTTGTTTTTAAACATGGGAATGAGCATCCAGTAAAAAATGGTAATTTTTGTAAAATACACGGTTTACAAAAATTATTGCAAAAAACGCAAAGAATCCTTTGCTCGTGTGTATAGGACGTCCTAGGTTTTGAAGCAGTGAAAAATTAATAAAAACATCATCTTATATGCGAGTAGATACAGTACATATTCCAAAACAGTAAATTTTCATTAATAAAAAAAATCTGAAGATGAAGATGAAAATTTTTATCAATCTTCATTGTGCCAGCAATAAAAATGCATTTAATTAACAATTAAAATTATGCATATCTTTTTCATTTAAAAATATTAAAAATAATTACCATTTGCTTCAGCAAGAAGTTCAGCTATGTGTGTAAGAAGATGACCTTTCATTTGAAGACGAGCTTTATTTTCATTTCCAAAACTTGAAAAACTTTCAGTACATTTTTCAGGCATTAAAAAGCATTTGTAAGAATAATTTCTTCGAATCTCATCAGAAATCAATTCAGAAAACATTTCAAGAAGCATTTTATCAGATAATACACGAATCTGATCTAGAGTTAAATATTCAGAGTGATGAGTTTTTCTCAGTTGCGCCTAGAACATAAATAAAATATAATTATATATTTAAGATATCTTTAAAATCTTTAATATAATAAAATAAAATTATTAAATATACTTTAATAGGAAGTGAAATATTTTAAAAATAAATATAAATGATAAAATTTCAGAAAAGATGACAATATTCATTTCATTCTTCACATTTAATTTCTATAACAAAATTTTTACACAATTCTTGAAAAATTCAAAAATATTGATAAAATTTGATATTTATATTAGAAACATTTCTAGAGATTCTTCAGTAAATTTCATAATATACTTCAAACTTAACTGGAGGAAAACCCCCACCATAATTTTATGCAGATAATGTACAAGTTATATATTTTTGAAAGATAATTTGAAAGGAGATGCAGGTTATGTAATGGGATGGATTATATGCTGATTTTAAATTCAAATCATAAATTAAAACAAAAGAACATCAACAATTTGAACAAATATTAAAACCATTGACTCATGACAAAATTAAACAAAAAATAATCATGACAAAGCTCGTCAATAAAATATTAAAGGGAGAAAAGATGCCAGCAGAAATGAAACATATGTACTTGATATCAATTTTTAAAAAAAGGAGATTAAAATTGTGAACAAAGTACAAATGAATGTGTGTGACAAACCAAGTGGTAAAGACTCATAGCAGATTAATTAGACAAAAAGTGGAAAAGGCATATGAGAGTAAGGAAGAACAATGCATATTTACCAAAGTTAGATCTTGCATCAATCATATATTCACTAGTCAAAAAATCCTGGAAAAAAAAATGCATAGCAAAAAACAAAGTGATCAATATGATATTTATTGATCTAGAAAAGGTATGTGATGGCATCCCAAGGAAACTGTTATGGAAAGCTCCTAAGAAAGAGGAATTGAAGAATATTTAATAAAAGCAAAAAATGAAACAAAAAGTATGATCTGTAAAGCAGTCTTGTAAGGTGCAGAAACTTGGACAGTGAACAAAAGCACAGGAGCATGAGTCACTAGCAATAGAAATGGAATTTTGGAGAAGAGTGGCAAGTAAATCAAGAAAGGAAAGAGTAAGGAATGAAGTGATCAGAAAAGAGATGAAGGTAGACAAAAACATAACACAAAAAATTAAGAAAATATGGTGTTAATGATATGAACATGCAAGACATATGGGCAAAGATGAGTCACCATAAATGACAGTGGAATAAGAAATAGGAGAGAGGAAAAAAATAAAGAAGAATGTGGGAAAGAGTGTAAAAAATCAGTATGAGTAAATATGGTTTGACAGAAATGAATGATGCAACAATGCTGAATAGACAAAATGATAAAATTTTTCTATTTTTCTAACTTAAGTCTCCTGAAGGAATATGGAAAAACCAATGCATAATGGAAGTTTCTAATTTGAACAAGAAAAGAAACTATCACAAAAGGCATTATGGCATTAAATACATATAAACACCGCCTTGTTTACTAGCACTTTTGATGTATTATAAGGTGTCATCCTCAGGCAGATACAAACTCGAATAAATCTTTCAAACAAACTTTTCAAATTAAAAACTAACGGCTTTAGTCCTTTAGAACAAAACTATAATTAGAATAAACAAATGTAAAGAATTTAAATTAAAGTGCATGTGGTGGCTACGCGCATGCACCATAATGTGTGGATTAGGTGCCAAGAGCAAGAGACAATGTTTTAATCTTTTATAAGCTGACCCACATTACAAGTAACTCAAGTGTGGGAGAGTTACATGGATTTAATAATATGGTGAGGAAGGCTTCCCAAATATACACCAGGCTCCTCTGATCACAATATCTGAGCATCGCCACATGGTCCCACAGCAGGGTGTGTTGGTGTTGTAACACCATCCTTGATAGCTCAGTGTCACACCTGCCTACTGTGATGGAACGTTGGACGTTCGGAGATGTGTTAAGACAATGTTCTAGTTATCGCTCCTACGTAGTGGGTGCAAATGCCAAATGTGTTTTCTAATGGGATAGAGTATACACCTGACTTTTCTAGTACGGAAGTAGCATCCCTGTCATTGCTCCTGAGACTTGGTTGCAGGGTGACCGGTAGTAGTAACGTATGTTGTCTAAAAATACAGCAAATTTGGGCAGTGACGCAGCTACAGAACAATAATGATGGACAGACTATTGTGCAGTCCTTGAGTGTAAAATGGTGGTGGGAGACTTTTTAACCTTGTTCAAGACATATTTGTATTTGGAATTGGTATAACCTGCTGCAGCAAATGGCAGCAAGCTCAATGTTGGTAGCAGTTTGCGTGGAGGGCCTTTCTGTAGCTCTGAACACAAACTGCTACCCTAATGACACCTTATAATACGTTGAAAGCATTAACGAATAAAGCAGTACTGTATTTATACATATTTAACATCTTTTGTAATAGTTCCTTTTCTCATTTAAATAAAAGACTTGTGTGACATCCAACCCTTGAATTTGAAATTTCTAATAATGATGATGATGATGATGATTGTTGATAAGTAGAAACAAAATTAATGAGAAATACTTGCAGATACAAACTATTGAGAAAAAAATTCCTTAAATATCTATATCTTCACAAATTATTTTTTGTATATGATTATGTGGACACTGCTTCGGTCAAAAAAATATTTAAAAATAATTATTGGCATCAGAATCAAGACAAGCCAACTTGTGGGTTAAGATGACTTTGGTTATCTTACAGAAACTAACAAGGTAAGGACACTTCAGGGACAAAGGTGCAAAATCAAACCTAGTCTATCTGAATGACTATAAAAAGATATTCCAATATGTAAAAATTCAGGTGCCATCAATTAATTACAGGGGCAAGTCCTGACCATAATTTTTGGGCAAGCTGAAAGTTATAATAGGAATAATAAGCCTATCTCTAGTACTAATCAATAGGCAGAAATGTTATTCGGCATGAATAAAAAAGTATGGACTATTATAAAGCCCATTATATCTATATCTACACACACACACATACACTATATAAACATAAAATTGATGTAAGTTGTAAGTGAATACAAAGCTTACTTGCAAATGTGTTATGGATTGCTATGATAATCACTGGATCAAGTTATCTTTCAATTGAAGGTAAAGTCTGCTCTCCTATTCTTCATGATAAACTTCTATATCACTTCATCATAAAATGTAAGTCAAATTTTTAAGTCATCAAGTAAAGCGTTCTCAATTGACAACACTGCCAGTAAAGATAGTCTTTCTTGTCCTCGAGTTGACCTGCAATACATTTTTATCCTCTGCAATGCAGAAGATATCATTTCAGCTGTAGCAGTGGTAGTAGAGATTGTGGCAATCAATGTAGCAAGTTTATACACCTCCTTTACTCCCATTTGAAGACCATTTTCACTCATAAACTTAACCAACTCAAAATAGGCTTATCTTTAAATTCTTGCAAACAATAGAGAACAGACAAGTCATTCCTCAAATGGATGATATCAAAAAATGCTTCATCTGCATCTCCAGAGTTTTTAAAGACTTTTCTGGTAAATCATTTTTGTGTGTCATACATATTGCTGTTCAATAAGTAGTAGTAATCAAGTTTTCCCATGGACTGAAACCTACTCTTTATTTGCATTATTATGTTATCTAAGATCTCCATTATTATGTTATCTAAGAACTCCATGAAGAGATGTTTGTATTCTGTGATGTCCTGTGAACTATGCACTGTGTTTTTTTTGAGTGGTGGTTCATCATCATCTCTTGTTTTTCTGTTACTTCTTCAAATGTTTTCATGAAATTGTGTTCCATTATTTCTTCCAGTTTCTTGGTTTTTCTTCTACTTTTTAGCACTGTATGCAATATCCATACTTTTTGTCTGAAGAATATTGAAGAGATCATCAGTAAATGAAAATACTTGAGAAAATACATTAAGTAAGAAGTGAGTCTGAAACTTTTGTAGGAAAGACAAGAATCCTTCAGCCTTTATGACAGTATCATTATCCCAATCTGCAGAGTGTTCAAGTAAGTTTTGAAAGAACATTATTATCTTGTCATATTTCTCCATTACAGTATTCACAAGTCTTGAGGCAAAATTCCATCTCATAGGGACAACTGAAGGCAATTTCTTTTCAATAAAACACTGAAGAATGTATGTTCGTTTAGAAGACATAGAAAAAAAATGCTGAAAGTCCCAAAAGTGTTTGAAAGAAAACCCCACATTCCTTGATATTTGAGAATGATTGTTGCAGTTAAATTTAGCATGTGGCTGTAGCACGTGTAACAAAAACTGCATTGGGATTAGGGATTGCAATTGCTGGATCCCTCATCCAGCAATCCAGCTGGATCCAGCACTGCGGATCCGCAAATACTCAATTAACTTTCTAAATAATGGTGCAAAAGTCTACGTTGTCAGCTTTGCCGCTTTGCTAAGTGCGCTATCGCTCAGCGGCGAGAGCGACGTTGCCATTCAGTGCAGTACAAGCCACTCCCTCTCTACACTGCACCACCCGTCCTTTTACCTCTGCTGATCTAATTGACAGTTGACTTTTCGCTCTCGCTAAATAAAGTGTCTTCGCGCTAAATAAAATAAGTAACATCCTCTCCTAGTCCTGGTGCATAATTCTAATTTACGGTCAGTTGTGACGTCAATGAATCACGTGATAGATCGCCGCTTCAGCTGCGAGACACTGGCACTTTTTTGACTTTTTTTCCTGAATAAACTCGGTGCGCAATAAAAACATTATTTATTTCATTTTTCGCAGCTCGAAGAAATTAGAGAATTTGAATTTTTAAAATTTTTTTTAAAAATTTCGGAAATATTGCGACAAAAAATGCAAGGGAGCGTCTGTGACACGCTACATGATCTTAAATGAAAATTGAATTATTTACCACAAAAATGGCTCTAACGATTTGGATCAAACTTGGTTAGTTTAGTGAATCGCATAAATACATATATAGTGGAACCAGCAGCAATGGCAGAGGAGATTATGGAGGTGGAAAGCGATGATCCAGATAACTTGTATTCCCTAAATTTCACCTTGAAACAAGAATTGGAGA